ACTGAGTATATCAATCTCTTCAATGAAGCCAGTTGGTGTGACACCTTTGTCAAACCTCTCTAGCTCACTCCAGTCAATGATGCCACCATCCAGAATGTCTGGTACATCACTGGCAACCAAACTACCACCTGCCCCATCATTGTCTTGCAGCTGGTCAGCTTCCCATGTGTTCAGCCTGTGTTGGTTACACCATCACAGGTCAGGTTGTGTGGGCATGGTTTTTGGCAGGGTTGCATACATTTTAAAAATGTCAAGCGAACTCTGCTGGGTTGAGCCTGCAAACTGAGCCTAAGAATTGAGCAGCCCTAATGTATCAAGATTTGTCCAACAATTAGATGCCCCTGAAAATTTGAAGTTTTCACCAGCAATAGAATGTCATGACAAAACTTCAAGTTTTGTCTGCAGATAAAATTAATTGCCTGGTCATCACCCGCCCATTGCCCACCCATCACTCAATCATAGCCTGCTCATGGCCCAAACTCATTACCTGGTGTAGCATGGCAGTGTATTGTCATGTCTGGCTATTCAGGCCTTCAGGAAGTGAGTCATGGCACATTTTTGTACATACACACTATACAAACTATGTCAATAACATACCACTAATGCCCAAAGGTTTTTCAATAAAGAATAAATCATTGCCTGTGCCCATTCCTTATCACCAACTAGCCCAGAAACCTTCATAGTAGCAACCTCCCCTATTTCAGCAGGCATGGATGGACATAACCTTTCATCTCCCAGGAACACAGCACATGAGAACTTGAAGTGCAGCACAGAGCGACTTCAAAGTATCCCTGATGACTTCTATTGTAGAAGTAGACAGATCTGTACATAGGTAGGTTGAGGTGAGTGAGAGGAATATAACAATGAGGAGGAGAAGTGACAGTGAGAAGGAGCTGGCTGCACGAACATTATATGGAGTCAAGATTTAAATCCCTCTCACACATACTGTTTATAATCCTGTCACCCTCGGACATTTTAGAAATGAATGATGCATTGGATTCCAGGACAATACAAGCCAGTATGAGCTGCTAAGTGGAAGAAAAATCAACCCCCCATGTATACTGGACATGAGTCCCACATCTGTTCAGAAGTGCTAGCTTGCCATCCTGGCACCAGTTCACACGTCTGACAGTAGTTAACCAGAACATGACTATTGCTGGGCCAAAGAGTCAGACAAGGATAAGGGATCGGATGAATTTGTTGGCACCTCTCAGCAGTATGAACTGCTGGGTGGTTGAGACTGGAGCAGGTTGTGGCCTGTAGAGTGGTGAAGTCCAATGGTCAAGAATGGCCTGAGGTAGTCCCCTGAGCAGTACTTTACTGACCCTAACTAGACATACATGACCATACATACAGTGGCTCAAAAAACTGTCTGCATGTTTTGACATTTTTCACTATCTATGATATTGTGTGAGAACAAACAAATGCCTCAAGGACATGCTTATAGCACATTGTAGTATGGCTTCAGGGCTTTCATTTGAGCCCCACACCGTGGGAATCGGTGGAGATATGGTAGAGACATAAGGCTTATAAAATGATGACTCATGTGAACAGTTTTTTGAGTGTATATTAAAACTGTATAAATCATTATTTATGACACCACAAAAATCATGCCACTATTATATAAATTATGAAGTGGTGTCATTATGTTATTTTATGACTATATCTAACTATATAAACCAGAATATCTCATGTATCATAGTCATGATCACCATGAAAGCCATCTCCTCTGCTTAAAGAGATAATATCCTCTCTCTGTCTTATGCTGGCCTCTCTGCTTGCCAAATTTCCTCTAGAACTGGAGTATGCAAGTCCACTGTGGCCAAGTTTATCAAAGAAAGCCACCCAGACAAGGAAAACTCTTGTGGAGGACGTCCATCCAAGCTTACCTCTACTGACAAAAGGGCTATTATCCAACATATCACTACAGGAAAGGCTGATAATGCTGTCCAAGCCACCCATTATATCAATTCCACCATCACTACCCCTGTCTCTTCACAAACTGTGAGGAATGTTCTCAAGGCAGCTCATCTCAAGGCAGTAACAAAGAAGAAAAAGCCTCTTCTCTCCATCAAACATAGGGAGAGAAGACTAGCCTTTGCCTTAGCTCATCAACACTGGACTGTAGAGGACTGGAAGCATGTTATATGGTCAGATGAGACCAAAATCAATAGGATTGGGTCAGATGGGAAGGTATATGTATGGAAAAAGAAGGAAGATGGCCTAACAGACAGAGAGGTTAATGGGACTGTCAAGTTTGGAGGAGGTTCTTTAATGGTATGGGGCTGTATGGGATGGAATGGTGTGGGAATGCTTGCTGAGGTTAAAGGGAAGATGAATGCTTGCTGAGGTTGAGGGGAAGATGAATGCTGAGCAGTATGTGGACATTTTAAATGACCACTTGCTACCTAGCTTGGCAGAATCAGGGATTGATGAAGAAGATATCATTTTCCAACAGGATAATGATCCTAAGCACACATCCAGAAGAGCTAAGGAATGGTTTGAGGAACATAACATCAATGTTCTTGACTGGCCAGCACAGTCTCCTGATGTCAATGTCATTGAACATCTCTGGGGAACACTCAAGAAAAAGCTTCAAGCCTATGAAAACCCCCCTAAAGGAGTATGGGAACTTTGGGAGAGAGTAGCAGTGGAATGGGGGAAGATCACAGCTGAGGATTGCCAGAAATTAATTGAGAGTATGCCTAGAAGGATAGAGGCAGTAATTAAAGCCAAGGGAGGTCATACAAAATACTAGAATACCTGGTTATTATTGTAAAATACTTGAGTCAAAAAACTGTCCGCATGAGTCACCATTTTGTGAGCCTTGTATCTCCACCATATCTCCACCTATTCCCATGGTGTAGGGCTCAAATGAAAGCCCTGAAGCCATACTACAATGTGGTATCAGCATGTCACTGAGGTTTTTATGTATTCTCACACAATATTGTAAATAGTAACAAATGCAAAAACATGCGGACAGTTTTTTGAGCCACTGTACAGTCATGCCATGTGGAGGGGGGGGAAGACCATGGGAGACGTTGAACCAGGGACTAGTGAAGGATTTGGAACATTCAAGGCAATGAAATCGGGAGAGAAAGGTGTGGACATGGCCATACAAATAGTCATGCTATAGGGAAGAAAGTGACTCAGAGCATGACAAGGAAGAAGGTGGAAGGACGCCTATGACGACAAGCTCAGCAGTACAAACTGTTGAGTCTGTGTGTAAGAAAAAGTTAAGGTAAAGGATGAATGGACTTGGAACTTTGGCAATGAAAAAGCACAACAATGCTAGATAATGTATGTTTAGGATTTGAAAGTGCACAACAATGACAAATAATGTTAATGTATTATGTAATAATTCCACAATTCTACATGTCCTTCCTGCACTTCATTAGACTTACTGTAGTACTATTTCCATCCCCTGGTGTGACTGTGTACCATCAAGTCCTTCTCCCTTGGCTATGGCACAATGATTTGTATTGTCATGTCTTCCTTCCATTCACCTGCAACCAACTTTGTCAGGGTGGCCATCGACACATGGTGAAGCTTTCATCACCTGGAGCTTAATAATTTGTACCATCAAGCTCATAGCCTGAATCCTTGATGACCTTCCGATTGACCAAATCTTTGGCTACTCCCTGCTTCGCAGTCATTTTGCTCTAGAACAATTGTCATGTTGTATTTGGTCACCTGATTGTCCTCCAAACTTCAACTGGTCATATTGTCATATTCCCTTCTCCCCATCATTTTTCCCTGTCATTGTCATTACATGACAGAACACTGTACTATACAAATTTACCCTTGCTTAAATTTATCCTCAATCTAAAGAGTTGTGCCAGCCATTTATCACTCTGCAATGCAATACATATATTCCTCAACTTCTTCAATTCAAGTTTAGTGGTCTTCATCCACATATTCAATTAAAACCCCACATGTCACTTCAGAGTCCACCCTCTATTGTTATGCTCCACTTCCACTTTCCACGCTGACCTCCATTGCCATCAATCCCTTATAATCCCAAGATTCAGTCTGCACTTCTTTTCCACCCACCTGTCACATTAAATCAGTTTGTACTGTTGCACACTTCCCTCGCTCTCACCTGCTTTCTCCGTTGTCTACCATATCATTCCATGCATCAACCCATAGCTGCTGCTAGGTCTAACTCTTTGGTTCATACTGTTGTGGTAGTAATCTGGTCATAGTTTTGGTCTACCGTGTCATTCTACAAGTCAACCCAACCCTTCTGACCCTTCCATGACTGCCAACCTCAAAGTCTTTGTGTGTGATGAGAAGGTCTTCACTTCTCTCACTGTGCACTTCCTGCCTGAAGTGATTCCCTACCAGCCTCCCTGGAACCCCTGCAATGATTGTGATTATTCTCCCAATGACAGCAATACACCACTCAGTCCTTGCTGGGTGTATATATTGTGTCCATGGTTTCCTGTTGTGCCTTTGAACCTGAGCTTCAATGGGCCCATCTTTGAATGCCTGAACCACACCAGGTTTTCTCTTTGCACAGAGGTCAATGCACAGGGCAAGCATGTGCTTCATCGCAACATCAGAGAAAGAAAGATGGTATGAGTTTGAAAAGAAATTGATCTGGTGCCAGGAGTGTTTGGATGCTGGGATGTTCATTCTGTGGGGGACTATACTTCCACCTGCTCCAGCTACATTTGGGTATCTTTGTTCACATGAGAATGCCAAACTTGCTATAAAGGTTGCACTGAAGTTATGTAACACATTTTTATGTACATAGTCAATTCCTATCCCCATTGCATTATGACTGACATTTTTCTAGTAATTGCCACTGCCTGTACATGGCACATTATGAGTCGTTGATATCATGGTTCCAATCACCCCTGGATGTCTGTCTTGATTGATGACCATGAGTGCCCCATACTGGCTAAATGAGTTCTCAAGTTATTACATTCATTTGTGGGAGATCTGTCAGCCAATGTTCAATGCACTGAAGTGTTCATCTCCTCTGTCCACTGCCCATGTTTGAACAGTTCTTGATCCCAATATGGGTCCACTGTGTCAGGGGGGCATCTGTCATTGACTCTATGTTGTGTTACTATACTCCCTCCTGGGAAGCTCTCACCTCTGTGACAGAGGCTCTAAAATGGGGCCAAACACCAGCTGACAGCACCTGGGGCCATACTAGCATATCAGGTCCTCCTGACAATAGGTGTCAGTATCTGGATGTCAGAGAAATGCAACCAGAGCCCATTCCTGTATGGGGTGATGTAGATAACCCATGGGCTCCCTCTGACAATGGGTGTCAGAGCAGCAGAGGAAATCAACTCATCTCTCTTGATTCCCAAGAAGAGGTGCCTCCTGTGTTTCTGTTTCTGGAGCCCAAACACAACAGTGGACAGTTGCGAGGAGAAGTTTGGCAGGTGTTCTTAGTGTGGTGCCATGAGGGAAATAAGAAGAGAGAGGAGAAAAAGACTCCAGCTCAATGGCAATCACATCTGAGCCATGCAACATCAGCAGGTAACCAGGATTACCCTGCCAAGAAGACCATGGTGTTCAAATGGCAGCCCCAAGAGGAGTATGATGGCTTTCATCTATGCATCTGCATCATGAAGAATGATATTCCCTCAGTGTGGAGGGAATACAGTTCAACTACAAGGATGTATGACTCATTTCATAATGAGTGGGACTTGTGTGATGCATTAGATCCCACTAGCATTCCTGATGGCGACTGGAAAGATGAATTTTTCACTTCTCCCACTCTATTTGCTCCTCCTGCTCCTCCCACTCTTCCACCGGCACCACCTCAACCTCCATCACAGGCCAGTTTCTTGCAGGACATTGATTAATACTTCAGTTATCATGAGGTTGCATCCTCCTTGAAGTACAATCACAGCATTGAACATTTTGTTTCTATGTTACATTTCCATCTTGGATTCCAACTTGCAGCATCAACCTCTATGCCCTGAGGTAGATTGGCCATGTTTGAATCTTGGATCTGCAAGACAGAGTGGCTTCACCTATGCAGACTTATTGGTGATGTAGGCACAGATGTTGCAACAATTCCAGACATTCAGAAGAAGATCATTACTTGTTTCATAGGCTACCTGGTCACATTGCCAGTATCTGGGTTGTCTGAAATGCCAGCTGATCTCTGGGACTTAGGACCCAATCCTTCCTTAGCAGTCTCAAATGCAGACATTTGAGTTTCCTACATGCAACTTCCCAAGCAATGGCTCTATGTCATAGAGCCAAGTCTATCAGCAAGTCTGGTCATCTGGAAACTCATTGTTGCTGACACTGCCACTGCTGTGGTGTACCTCTGGCATGACTGGGAGTCTGACATCACAAAGATTGCACTCAATCTCCTCCAAAAAGGAATCACTTTCAAGACATTGCAAGCCATGGCAGTTGTGCTTGACACACATCGCCCACTAACAGAGCTCCATTTATACTCACCAACCTACATGCTCCCACCTTTCAAGGCCATTTATACAGATTATGTTGTGTATGAGCAGCATTGCCATAAATTCATGAATCAGCCTCATGCAAGGGCTACACTTTTTCATGGTGGGCTCATAGAGGCTGGCCATGCATAGCTTTCATTTCAATGATCTCCCCTCCATTCTCAAGGGAATTTCATGGGAAGCTGTTCCATTCAGCCTCATGTTGCCCATCAACAACTAGACTTACTTCAACAATGAGTTGTCAGTGGAGGAGGTGGATTTCATGTGCAGCACATATTATTCATACAATGGTAAGTTTTTTCTTACCAATAACAACACAAACACTTACATTTTGATAAACAGACAATGGTACTATGGACATTGATGTGGCATGTTCACAATTTCTTGCTAACACAACTGGTGAGAATGATTTTGTTGTCGTTACTTGTGCATCTCTGATTGAGCTCCTGCTTAGTTTTTGCAGAAAATTAGTGTTATATCATTATATTGTGATTGCTATGTAAGTCTGGAAATAATTGTAGTTGTATGAATGATGATTGTATAAATTGTGACCCAACCCATGGCCTCATACCATGCAGCACACTGATCAAATATTTAGAGAAGAGTGGCCATTGATGATGATGAACCAGCCTTTGACAAGTCTTCCCACAACCATGAATGGAGCACTCGTGAACTTCTCCAGCACACACTGACCTTGGAAGTGAATTGACACCTCCAAGTTTGGCATTGATCAACAGTAAGACAGGCGAATTTCTAGAGCTAATATGGGCTATCCTTCCAACAGGTAGAGATATATACATGACAAGGCAAGGTTGCTATGGATAAGGGGATATATGAAAATGAGACAATGTGAGAGGTGTGGAAAAGGGCCTGACATGTCAAGGTCAGCAATCACAGCCTTCTTGGCAAGGTAGTAGGCAAGGTCAGGGCTGTACAGGATTTCTTAGTGGAACACAGAGAAGTTGAGTGCAAGACCAAGGTGGAGTTTGCTTACTATCCAGATGAGAATGTTGGGCAAGGATGAGGTCGCCAGAACCTCCCAGCAGTTTGTACTGCTAGGTCACCGGTTGAGACTGGAACAAGTTGTGGAGCCATTTCACATTGTATGCACACCAAGGCCCAACCCACAGTGAGATAAGTGAGACAAGATGTTTGCATCTGATGGGCCAACCATATCACTGGTCCTTCATCCAGATTGCTTATAGGTATGTAATACATAACTCTGTATACTTGTAGCTAGTTCTATATGACATGCTTGAATTTGTATTGTAAAGTACATTGTTTTAAATGAAAGCATCTTTCAATGCTCTCAATCAGTCCAGTGCAGCCTCCTGCCTGGCTACCTTGACCTCTTGCAGAGCCAGTTTCACTTGTTGCTGGGCTAGCTTGGCTTTTTGCCAGTCCAACTGAGCTTGTTCATGGGCCAATTTAGCCTGGCTCTGGGCTAATTCAGCATCTGTTTGACCCCTTTCAATCCACCTTTGGTCCAATGCTAGCTGTTTCTTCCAAATTGTGTTATCAAAGGCAAGCCTGCTTCATATCCTCCTGCCGATGCTGATTTCTCTCCAGGTGATCCTCCTTGATAAGATTGAGCCTTGCACGAACTCATGCATGGGTTCCATAACAGACTACTGATGGTGATACCTCTTGAATTGGTGTCCATCTCAGTCTCCTTGGCTGTACTGAATAGAGTCATGCACATTTTTTGGTCCTTGTTTGTGTGGGGATGCAGCAATCTTTGTCTGATGAGTTCATTGGGCTTTTACCATGGTGTTTCACCTCAGATAGTAGGGAGTGGGGGGCTCAGTGTATGTTTTAAGAAGACTGTCAATGCATGAGGTGTTGATCAAGAAAGTAGCAGTGAATTGCTAATTTTGACTTTGAACTTGTATATTGTGGACCACAGATTCATTATGGTCAATGAACACCAGTGACAAATGCTCACATCAACCCAAACAAACAGACTTGGAATTACCCATCAACTATAATATCCACAACTGGGAAGAGTGCAGCCCAGATATTCAAAACAGTGCATGGTGAATAGACATTGCAAACAACGGTTTTTCATTATAACACTGCCTACAGGTATTTGACAATGCAGGAGTGAGCTCCAAGGGAAAATGCAAAATGAAGTGGGTTGGACCCCAGCAAAGTATAAACTGCTAAGTAGTCATAGCTCAGGAGCTAAAGTGTCGATCAAAGACAAGGGCTTGAGAACTACATTGGAGGTTGTCATGGGATTGCAACAGTCTCCACTGGAACATGGTTTTTGCACAGCCAAGAGTATCAGATAAGAATGAGGAGGAAGTTGCAAGCACCGAGTCTAAGCAATACAAACTGCTCAGTAAGAATGAGGCCTAGTGGTTCCAGAGGGAAGGTGTACATATGGCCATGCCATGTGGATGAAGGGGAAGGCCATCGGAGACGTTAAGCTAGAGAGTAGTGAAGGACTTGGGTTGTTGATGATAAAATTGGGGGAGAAAGGCAGGGTTGGAAGTGAGGAAGACAATGATGGAGGTCATTGAGGACTACAAGCTCAACAGTACAAACCATGAAGCTCTGGGTGATGAAAGCATGTCATGTTTGAAGTCTCCAGAGGAAAGACATGACGATACAAATCATCATGCCATAGCCAAGGGAGATAGTATATGCCATCACACTGGGGGGAAGAAATACTATGTATGAAGTGCAGGAAAGACATGTGAAATGATTGCATGTGTTTGTTGGTTACACAGTCAGTCAATTATGTAAATCATTTATTCCCAAACATGTGGATTCAATCCAATTATTACATAAGTTATTTAACATTGTTGAGTGCTTTTATCACCAAAGTTTCAAGACTCTGAGGCAATGGTATGAGATCACCTTATGTAAATGGTCAGTCAATGTAGACAACTCTGAGTCTGAATCATCATGTAAGAACTGACATTACCACATATAGAAGGTCAGTCAAGTCAGTCCAGACAACTCTGAGGTGATGTAAGATTGAGATTGCCAATAAGTATATATAGAAGGTCAGTCAAGTCAGTCTGGACAACTCTGAGTCATGGGATTAAAATTGCCAATATTAAATATTATGTAGCTATAGGTCAGTCAAGTCAGTGTCATCCATTTATTTGTCTGTTTGTGTATGTCTGTACCATTACAAAAAATATAAACACTAGAAGTTTGTGAACCATTGTAAGCACTTCACAAGTTCTTCTCTATTGACAAGCTCTCCTGGGTGTGTTAGACTCTGGACACCTGGGTGTTTATTGGGCCCAAAATGATACACTGAACTTGCTTTGTCCATGTCATTCCAGAAATGTTTGATGACCAGTTTAGAAATTGTGAGCATGGGCTTGGTTATACTTGTTGTGTAGGACTTTTTCTTGTCAGTGCTGGCAGCCATGTATTTGTTTGCATTTATGACTATCATGCAGAGAGCAATGAGAGGCCTAGTGAATAGCCCTTGTGATAATTTTAAGATGGTCTATGCAGGGAGATAGATGCATTACTTGTGCAGGAAGATGCTCATGGTAGATAGAGGATCATTCACTCCAGTGTCTCGATTGAGTGTTCATGCACTTGGTTAGTGAGGAAATTTCCTTTATTTGCATCAACATGTCAAGATAGCTCAACCTCATGCATAAATTCAAAGTTTAAACAGTGAGCTCCCTTGGCAAATGAGGCTGTTGGCATAAAAGCTGCATGGTACTGTCTGGGAGGTTGTATCCTTGTAGGGGTGAGTGAACACTGATAGGCTGTATGGGAGGTTGACTCACAATAAGTCCCCCTCCAGAAGAGTGACCACCTCCATATCCTGGTTGGCCTTGACCTTGTTGCATTTTTCAAGAAGATTTGTTAGCTGTAAGGAATGTTCCAAGAATGTTGTGTGCAAAATCTTCTTGTTTTTGGGGAAGGCCATAATCCACACTTTTTTGCCCAGTACTGGCTGGACAAAAGTGACACCTCTGTCTGAGTCATGGTGGAAATTTGTCATGACCCCAGGGTGATAGGCCAAAGCCCACCCATTGAGGAGGAAATTGTCAGGATGGACCTTGGTGCCAATCAGGTAGTTAGCTGTGGTTTGATTCCATCCATGAACAATACCATGATTGAGTTGTTTAATGAAACAAAGGTTGAGAATGATGATGTCAGGGGACAGACATGTGCTCACCACAAGTGTCCTGGGATTCCTGCTCCTGTATATGGAAGGTTGAGGATGAACTGTATCATGTTTGGGTTGTCCAAGTTGCAGATGAACTCT